ATGAAGGGGTTAAAGGAGGAATAAAGGATTTTGGCGAAAGTTCGCTTTTCCCGACTATGGACGAATTATTTGCTCCGCGTGGCAGGGACAGCGAAGATCCAAAATCGTATTTGCCATTCCCATGATTATTTGGCCCGAGCCCCGGCACCGTTTCTTTCTTTCGTTCTTTTCCCCAACTTTTTTTCTTTCCCCTTCATCCTTCACCGAGGCCCTTTTATAGATGACCAATAGCGTGGGTTGTGTCTGGCCTGAATGGGATGCTCCTTTGGGACCGGTTGCATTCTGCCCTAAGAATGCACTTTTCTGCTCCGGTGAAATGAGCCGAGGTAATTTCGGTTCGTTGCCTCGAGATCGAGCGCGGGACCAAGGGAACGAAACCAGCCGAATAATGGGGCAGAAAGGAGTAAGTTTACCGAAGACGACATCGATCTCGCAATTCCCTTTTCACCGCTCACCAATCGGGGAAACTCGATCGATCCACGGGATCGATCGCCGCGGAACGAACCCGAACGACGTTCTCCTTCTGCTTCGTGCGTATCTGTCTCTGACGAAGCCACCGAAGCTTCCTCGAACACGATTACGCTCTTCGTCGAATCTTAAGGGTTATTGTCTGCCTGCGTCATTATTCGTTACGCTTTATCGCGTTCATCTCCAAGGATCAACGTGTGTACGCCACCGGCGACTTCTTCTATCGACTCTATTGGATGTTTTCATCAAACAAATTCATTTTATTTTCACCTGGTACAAGCAGGGGTGCGCTTATTTGTTTAATATGGTACATGCAATCGCAGGCTTCGGCGATTCAGCAAAGAAAACTAGTTTGGGGTGGAAAATTGCGCCGGTTAGGAGTCCCGTTACGCGGTCTCCGGAGTTCGGTAAGTTGAAATGAAAACTATCTCCCGGCATTCTTTCAGTCCGCGGCGTATACGACGAAATTTTATCAGGATCGCTTGTTCCAGCGAACACGACGGGCCGAAAGTTTCCCGAATCGAGAAAATTGGAAACCCCGCTGCTTACCTGTTCGTTATCCGAGACTAGGTATCCTCGAAACTTCGAAGGCACGCGAATATGACGGACGGGGGAAATTGAAACAGTGCCGGGACCATCGTAGAAAATTCTCTTCGAGGAAGAAACAACATAAAACGCGAGCCAGTTACTTCGCTCACTGACGTTTCGCTTTGAAGCAAGTTTTCCAATTATATCGACTTCGAATTTTCATCCCTCGTTCGTTCTTCGTAAATTGTACTCTTTTACGTGAGAAACTTCATCCGCGAATTCCGACTGCGATATTAATATTCGATCCAACGAAGAATGTCCTCCGATTTTCAATTCACTATTGTGTACACGGCCCACGAGCTTCCAAGTTTCCATCATTAACGAACGTAACGAACGTAACGAACGTTCGAAGTATCAAAAATGCGACTACTGTATTGTTACTTTCCACGAGAATAATGCGTTTTAGAAACGCGTAGGTATTTGTTAAGTTGTGCTCCTCGCTGTATTGGGAGTACGCGGTGTCCTCGAAGTTCCGTTCGAGGAGAGACACGCCCCAAATAAAAGGGCCAGCCAATGGGGTGGTCCAAGGTGGGGTCGTGCGCGAAATTAAAATATCCTTCGGTGGTGATCATTCGAGATACTTTGGTAACGATGCACGTGAACGTACGAGCGCGGTACGACGCGAGTGTGTTTGTGGCGTTCCGTGAGCGTACCAAGGGTGGTTCCAACCCCTCGCGGAGGGTGCGGCAACCCTTCGAATCAGCCAGATACGCCGGACATATGCTGAAAGAGAGAGAGATGCGCATTGTATTATTCACGAGCCGCTCGTGAGATAACGTTACCCAGATTTTTAATACGAGGGTCTGGCCACGCTCCTCCTCGCGCTGCCTTGGTAACATTGTAATGGGATTAGTCGCGTTATTAGGGGTTTAAAATCACGGACGTGTTTTCGCTGATCTTTCGCGTGCTCCCGAGGCATCGTAGGGCGATTAACACCGCGACTTTCACCCGTTACAACCGGTGTTTCTGGAAACAAGTGTTTCTCATTTCTTAAAACACAATTTTCCATTGTAAATGTCTTCCAAGAGTCGACAAATTTTCATCGAGAATCAATCGTCCGTACGGTTATCGCGCGGTTATTAATAGTCGAAAGTTACAGTTCAGGAAGTAAATATACCACTCGAGGGAAACCTCGTTAATGACACAGAGGTGACTGTAACTATGGCCGTGGAACGGGACAATTCGTGCGAGTTTGTAACTGCTTTCGTCGGTCGCGCAGCAGGTGCGAAAGGGGGGTCCGGGGAGTCCATTCGCACGAAAATTTAACACGAATGACGAAGTGGAAACCGTGGACGATAGCGATACTGGTCGGCCCGAATGGACGTTTCACGTTAAATATTAATTTTCCGCTTTGTGAGCACCGTGGGCGCCGTTCGCGACACGCTCGATAAAGCACCTACGAATAATCAAGAAATTAGACCGCGGCGCTGTTGCGACTTGCACCCGTGCGCGCATATGCAGCCGCGTTTCGGCTGCACCGGGCACTAGGTTAAATCGTTTAATGCCAAAACGTTGTCGTTTCATGGCCCGTTTTATGTTCCATCTCTCCCGTGGCGCACGACGAAAAGTAACGGATTAAAATTTGATCAAAACCCACTTCTTTAATACATAATACGTGGAGGGTCCTCGCAAAAAGGGGGAACGCCGTTCCAAATTAATTTCGAGTTAACAATAATTTCTCTGAGTTTTACATTTGAGGTGAAACAATTCGTCGGTGGTGAATATAGTCTGTCGATAAATTTTAATCGTTTAGACGTGGTTCAATTACAACAATTATTGGTATTTAGGAGGCTCGGTATGATGCTTGCGGTTTGTCGAATAGGGCGTTGCTGACGTCTTCAGATCATGCAGTATTATATCGTTCCGTTTATGTCAAAGAGCTTTATCGGTAAGCCCCGCCGCTCTCGAACCGAAATGTTTCAAGGATTCAATATCGAAGTTGCAGTCCGCGTTTCAAACTTGCATTTCATAAGTCTATACAGGGCTCGGTATAACTTGCGCAGCGGTGAGTAGTTTGTTTTATGGACTCGGTTGGGAAACGATACGCGGATGCATCGGCAATTTCCGAGCCGAGTGTCTTCCGTGGAAATATTTAATATCCGCGGGCATAGTTTCGGGACTATGTAACCGGGGGACAATTCGACAATAAGTTCTCGGAGCATGTGTCTCTCCCGATGGCGACGATTGAACGCAGACCACCCCTATCCGTCGCATAACTGGGATCGTTTGAATTCTCCATCGCGAAAAAGTCCCACAGATTGCGTAGATTTTCGCGACAGATCTATAACTCTCGTTGCACAGGCTATGAACTTTACAGCATTTACATAACTTTGAGCCAATATTTGTCTATGAACGTTGGAGTTATTAATCACGGGAGTATTTTGAACGGAACTCTGTTTAACAGTTTTGTTGTCGAATCGACGAATGATTCGATTTGTATTTCCCGATTTGAGAGATTAGTGCTTCAAAATCTCGTTAGAAAAGTACACGGAGGCCGGGCGGTACATTTTCCACGAATGCAAATCGTCGAATGGAAAGGAAAGAAAAGAGCGGCCGCCCCTCAGGTAGACTGGAGATTCAATTTGGATCTCCTGAGCTGTTGAATATCGATGCGGGAGGGGAACGAAATTACCTCTCAAACGACTTCGGTACGCTGTCGTTTTGTGCAAGCTTTTAAAACAGCAGAGAGGTACTCCTCTATCGTGAATTATATTTTTCTTTGATAGTTTCGAGGAAACGCATATTCCACGTCACGAACACTAGTTAATTCATAATACAAATTCTGTTCGATTTCACATCTTCAAGTATTGTTGTTTCTTCTTCTATGGATTCGTTCATTCATCATCGACTTGGTAGTGGACGTTTGAAAATTTATTTACGAAGATGGTAGATTTTATACTCGAAGCCGACGGATCAGCAAAAAAGTGTTCTCAAAAGTAATTTAACTTCGCGTTTGAAAATTATTAGCGACACTTTCTTTAACCGCCTTGGAAACCTGCATCAACTCCTCTCAGAAGCTTATCTTGATTGACCGTACAGATTCTTCAGCACGTACCGCAGAAATCTAGGCGATTATCGTCGACGACGAGAAAAGCGTACCCCATTGTTCCTCTCCTCAGTCGACGAAAATGGCGTTCCATCTTCTGGAAATCAACATCCAGGGATTCAGATAGGGAATAAAAATTAGTTGCATTTACACTTGAAACTTCATCGTTGCTTCTGTTAAAAGACACAGAACATCCATCACCCAACTATTAGACTTTTTCTCATCAATTCCAACAGACCACGAACTGTCGACGATCTCAAAGCAAACATCACTCGTGTTATCAATGAGATAATAACCATCAGAGTTTATTTTTTCTGAAAGAATCTGAGGTTCGTTTCCATCGATTTAAAGTCGTGTTTCGAGAAGAAGAGGCCTGAAAATAATGAGCAAACGACGCAGGGGTTGGCTCGCGGGCCAATAATAGTGGAAGGATGGGTAGTCGCGGCGCAGTATAAAGTTTCCGGACGTATTAGCCACCCGTCGAATTAGCGTTGCGAGAAAATGCCCTACTCGGTGTCGATCCCAGGGGAAGCGAGCCGCTTGGTCCCCGGTTCCGTTGGGGTGAACTGAAAGGGGGCACCCTTGGAAAAGGGCGGGGCCCCGTACAAAAGGGGCCCCGAAGGAAACCAACCCCTGGGTGGAGTTAGCACCCCGTATATATTCTTGAGTCGTGGTCCTGCAGGGTGTAGAGCACGGTGTACCGTCGTGTCGCGAAGATCTAGCGCGTCCGTTCGTCTCCCGGAGGCGCCATTTTGCGTCGTTGAAAAAGTGAAATCCAGTGAATCGATGGGATAATCCGCGCGTCGATGCTTCAGTGATTAGCGGGATTGTTTGGTGTTTCGAGACCAGTGTGCACGCTAAACGAGGACTGTAAACAAAAAGTTAACACGTGACGAACATGTCGCGTAGCTTCCTGGTGGACTCCCTGATCGGCAACAATTCGCCGCCCGCGTACCCGTTGCCCTACTACGGGAACCAATTACCCAGTTACATGTTCAACTTCTTCAACCTGGGATTGGGCTACCAACCGATCAGGCCTGTCCCCAGGCCACCCACCATGCCCGTACCGGTTCCCATCAGTCCTCCGGCCTTCGGAGCCTTGCCTGCTCCTGGACAGAGCCCACCGTCGCCTTTGAACACCTCCGCCAGTAGACTATCAGGTAAATATCGAATACAATACAGTCGCTGATCGCGAGTTCCGTGTTACCGAACCGTGATTTTTCAGACGTTTCTGCGCCGAGCGAGTCGCCGTCGCGCAACAGCACCCCGACGCCACCACCGAAGTCCCCGAACTCCACCAACAGCAGCTCGAAGAGGATTAGAACAGCGTTCACGAGCACCCAGCTGCTGGAGCTGGAGCGAGAGTTCTCGTCGAACATGTACCTGTCGCGGCTGAGGCGGATCGAGATCGCGACGAACTTGAGACTGTCCGAGAAGCAAGTGAAAATTTGGTTCCAGAATCGCCGGGTGAAATATAAGAAGGAGGATCTGCCCGCGGGGCAGAATCAGAAGTGTTGCTGTCTGAGAACGTGCGGCAAGAAGAAGGAGGGCTGCGACGACGAGTCGTCCAGAAAATGCGACCGAGAGGAGGACGCTGGAAAGTCGTTGAAGAACGAGAAGGTCGAAGCACTCGAGAAGCCCGTCGATGCGATCGGCCACGAGGAATCCTCGGATCCGCCGGTGGATCGTTTCGAGCAATCGATCGCGTATCAGTCGGACAGCCCGCAGTTCCGCTGGGACGCCGAGGAGAAATTAAATCGTCCCGGTTACAAGAGGGATGCGCACAATTTGTCCAGGGTCTCGAAAAGGTCCAGCGGGGACGCTCGAGACCCGACGGACGACAAAAGGAGACGAATCGATGGGACGTACGTTTATCGGAACGCGATTCAGAATGGCGTCGTCAGTCCTGTGTTTAGGAACGTGGAGTGCACCAAGCACACCGTCGAAAGAATCGTTAATTCGTAGGGAATAAAACGTGCACGGATCGTAGAAAAGAACGATCCGGATTATAGATTTTAACGGCTATCGGATATTATTGTAAATAAACTAGCGCTTTGTAAATTTTGTAGATATATTTTTGTACGATTCGAAAGAACAAGGATGGAAAAATGACACTGTATATTTTTAATATTAATTTAAGGGGAATAAAATGGATCGTTTGAATTTATCTGAATACCTTCCATGATAATTTGCCCTTTCACGATTGATTTTCTATTTTTAAACGTTTACCCGAATATGTTATTTAATCATTTAGTTTCGCCGAAGCAGATTCTACCGGCAACGACAATTTGACAGTTTAATGATTTAGCTACGACGACCTTCCTCGCCGTATTTATACAAGATATTAATTAATTCCCGGGCTTGGCGAAAATCACACGTTAAATTATATGGCCCGGTCGATAAACATTTTATTAGTTAAAATAGGAGAACCCTCGATCCTGGTCTCGCGATACGTTTGAACGAACGTTCGCTGATATTCACGAGGCGAAATACTGATAGAGCCTTGTTATTGATTTTCGCAGACACTCCTGTGGGATGATAGTTATTGCTGACGCCCGCGCGAACGTTACATTCACCGTTTTGGATTATTTATGCGCGGACAGTTCGTCGAAGGAATAAAAAACATTAGTTTTATCTACGTCGAAGCGCACCGACAAATTTATTGCTCGCAAATCTCCACGGGAAAATATCTTTCTTCCAATGTAGATACGGGCAGAAATGTTAAAAAGCTATCCGCGAAGCGTGGATATTAAAAATTCGAACGGCTCGTGCATCGTTTGCTCTTTAAACAAAATTTGTTCGACGAGTTGTCGTATTTTGAATCGAAAAATACAACAAAAATTGATCACCGGATGCTGTACCTCTGGTTGTTTTTATACCTTGAGCGTGGTTTATGAAACAGTCGTGTTTGATGCGGTTGTTTCTGCGTACAGGGCATCGGTGTTATTAAATTAAAAAAGAATAGAAATCAAATGAAATTTTGAAAATTAAATACACTTTTTTTAATTTGTCTATTAAAAAGGGGAACGTTTGGCTCGTCCTAAAAAAATCATGGGAACAACGTTGTTTCCTGCTGTCCTCGTAAATTCGATCGCAACACGCCTCTGCGTCAACGTTATGGTTGGCTGAATACACGGTAGAGATGGTATTTTCAACGTTGTTTTGTTTACATGGTCCTTGCAAAGAAAACTGACGAAATTTATTTGTTTAATTTACTCCCCCGTCGATTTATTTTCACACATCGAGAATACTTCTACCGCCAGGTTTGGTATAAATCTTTCTACCAATCCATCCACCATTTTAATTTCTTTCGATAGAAAACCTCAGAGTGTTCAGGATTTAAAATATATTTATATTCAACCCTCTGCCGCATAATGTGCTCGATCAGGGACTCGATAAAGGTTAATAGCCCTTCAGGTTCTGCCAATCATCGTTTAGTTAGAATATTAATTAATTCTCGAATGTATAAGTAATCAGGGAATAATCTATTCTTTGGAATGTGAAATAAAATTTATGTAGCTAGATACTCGTTTGGAATTAAATTTTTTCCTTTCTAGAATTATAGTGACAGTTTTTAAAATTGTAAAAGATAAAAAATTATCAGGTATATTACGTGCATAATGGGTGGTCATAAATCATTGCTTTAATATAAATGTAACGATTCTTTAAAGTGAAATAAAATCTATAAATTCGATACTGTAATTTTATGTCGTTTCCCTACATTTCCTTGATATTCCTATTTCAAAATGTCCCCGCGGAAAGGGTTAATTCCACCGGTTTTTGCGAACTGTGACACGATTTGACATAAACTAGTTATCGCACTGTACTCGTTTCCGTGGAGATAATTACTCAAATCCGGATCGACATAGAAATGGATTAGAAAGGAGGTGAATTTGACAGTTTCATGAAGCACCTATTATCATTTTGCTCCAATTTTGTTTTCGAATATACGAATATTAAGTATTTTGGAAGACTTTGCTCGATGAGGGTTCGTTAAAATTTGTTTTCCTCGTCACGACCGCAAGCTTTACTGCCAATTACGGATGAAAGGGAAACGAGAGCGAGCCGACAGGAGGGTGCGGACGACGTACACCGACGGACAGGGAGGATCACGGAAACGCGGAGTCGCGGTGACGGGAACGGTGGCATTGTCGCCGGGAAATCGGCCGTGATGCCGTAAATTCTTGAAATTTGTCAAGAGGACCCCCACTTTGGGTTAAATTTAAGGTAAAACGTAGTTAATGGTGTTAAGGAGCGAGGTTACAATGCACGGAGGCACTCTCGTATCCTCGTCGATCGACAATGGAACACTTGTGTCGACTTGGTTCGCGCAGCGGGCGACCGAACGTGAAAACCGGCTGTCTTTTTTTCGGTCCCCGGAGTCGTCGGGGCCCCATTGACGTTCCCGAGGTCCTCCGTGGTCCGTTCGTCCGGCCTCCTCGGTTCATTCAGCCGCGTCGCGAGGAAGAGAGACCCGAGTACCGATGAATGACCGGGCTCCAGGAAAAGTCCGAATCAAAAAATTGTCACCCTCGCGCTCGCTTTCTTTCGTCCCTTCGTTCTTTGAGAGAACGTTTCGCGTTAAACGTAAGGGCGGTCGGTACTTTTGACGACCGCCTCGGTTCACAACTTTAAAGGACGTTCAGCGGCGCTGGGAGCGACGAGTTTACTCCGAATTTCGCGGTCCTTCGGCCAACACGCGGCCTCCTCGAGCGGTACGAGTCTCGTTGGAATTTCGCTGCCCGTGTAGACCGATCGAATACGTTTCAAACTCTCGTTGCAGCGCGGCTATCGCGCTGTCCGACTCCCGATCCCGTAAATCCTGTATCGACCTAAATGATTCTGCGACTGAACCGTCGCCGATGGTTCAGCCGGAATTCAATTTTCCGGGCCCTCGCGTGCTCACCCTCGTGACGCCTCGAATTCAATCCGATCCCTGGCCAGGCGAGTGATATGCAGATCCCGGGAACCCGGCTCCTTTACAAATCTATTAACATTCGAGCCGTGATAGGGACGGGGAGAGACGGGGAATTACCGCGATCACCGGCTAACGCGGAGTCAGATAATTAGGCACGTTTCGACTTTGTGCCACTGGTAACTTTGGCGAAAGCGAATTAAACTGGACCCCGGTGGTCGGGTCGACTCGCTGACGGCATACTAATCTCGTTAGACGAACAGCCCTTACGGTGGCCGCGGCTGCGAGCGTTGAATCGTACACCGTGATGTTTCGCGCGAAACTTTGGAAACCCGTGGCCCTACAGCCTCGACAATTTCGGACACAATGGAACGGTTATGGTATGGAAACGCATCGACGATTATATTACCGTAACACCTATTGGAATTGTAATTACGTGGCGATACGGCGATCAACGTTAGCCCCGGTGGTATCGGCGAATCGAGGATCGCCATTAGGATTAATACGAACGAATTTTGCACGGTTGGACGGGAACGAAACGGTAACACCGTATGATTCAGTTACTTTGATTGTATTCGATGATGGCGGTTCCCGCCACGTTTCCTCTCCGATCTACAATTTTACCATCGATGGTACACGTAAGTTTGGGATTGAATTTAACGTCGAATGATGGTATGCATCGTTTGTCCACGTTGTCCTCGACGATATCAATCGTTCGGTCTTCGAGCGGAACGCGTTCCATCCGCCTGGGCAGGTCACACGGTCCAGTGAAACGACGACGAAGCGGCTTAAACGCAGACAAACCAGCCCGTGAATTTCACACGACGGTGGAAGTCTAACTGTTTTCCACTCGGTGTTCCGTTCGAAAAGGTGGAGCTGCTAGAGGGGGGGTCCTGTGGAGTGGTATTAATGAGTTTCAGCGACTCGCGACACTCGAGAAAAACTGTGGTCGCTGTGCCTGGGGAGGAAACCGCAACGGTTCTCGCGCCTGGAAACAAACGTAGCAAAAGGGGGAGGAAGCCGAACGGAGGGAGACAGAACGATCGAGAGGAACGGAAGAAAAGAGTAACCGTACGAGAGAGACGGTGAACCGAGCTTTCCGGTTCCGGAGCCGCTAATTCATTTCATCTTATGCGCACTGAAGAGCCGCTCCATCAGAGGTGAAAAGAGTCAGCGCGACAGCACTCGAGCTCTCGCAGAATGGCGGGGGACGTCACGGCCACTCGTGGCTGTCGAAGGGGAACAGTGACAAGACGACAGAGAGCCAACAGGACACGGTGCGGGCACTCGAAAGTTGAAACCGTTTGTTCCTGTTTGCACGGAGAGCAATGGCGACGCGCGGTTTCAACGTCAACGTTGAGAATCCCTTTTAGCCTCGTTTCCGCGATCAAAAATTCCTCTACGCGTGAAATCTTGCAGCTCGTTCGAGACGAGTTTTGACCTCCTTGAACAAACAATCGAATTTCATCGGAGTACACGTTTCGGTGAAAATATAATTGGACTTTTAACAGGATAAAATAAATTACGCGTGAATTTTATTCTCGAACAATGCGAAATATTTCGCGTAAACTAATTTTCGTAACGATCGCGCGGAGAGTAAATTGAAACACGGACAACGAGGCGGAATAAGTATTCGCGATTAAAGTTGCGTTTGTGGGATTTATTCGATTTACACGGGAACGAATCGAATTTTTGCGGTCGTACGGCAGGCTGGAAAAAACGCGTTACTGCGTAATTTCGGAATGCAATTTTTGCCCGACCGGGCGCGAGGCTATTGCTTCTAAACCTTCGACCGGCGAAATCGGGTCGCGAATAAAATACAATCGAATTCTGTTATAGCGAACTCGAATGTAACGAGATCACGGCCGTAACGAGCAACTGGCCATAACGATTTCGATTCAAGCGATGTGATTCTGTTGCAAAATCTTTTTCTTAAATTATTGAGAACGATAGGAGGCATATTTATAAGTAAATTTTGATCACCTGGTGATGTGGATTAGGTTGACTGCATTTACTTTCTGATGATCTTTGACCCAGTTCCAGTTATCTA